TAACACGAGTCTCATACGTGTCCAATTTAAGGGTATTACACAGAAACACACCATAATAACATGAATCAAATATGTACTTTATTCATTTACATTAAATGTCATAATGTACATCATTCTGATTGGAGCTAAGGGCATACACTGTCTAACAGTCATTCATACAACCAGCGACAACTGAACTTTGTTTTGGTAGGATTTGATGTGCCTTCTTTTAGAAAAATCTTGATATGCATATTGTGGGTGTTTGAAGGTTTTTAGATATTTCTCTGTATTTTTTGGACTGAAATTACAGAAAAATTCAAAAATGGGTTTTCCTACTTGTTTGGCAGATGTTTGAATATTTGAGATATGTCATTCAGGTCAGCTCTAATTTCTCTAAAGAAGAGGAGTGGTCTCATGTTTTTCTGAGCCCTAGGAAATTATTGGGGATTTATTCTTCCCATCTATTTTGCAACCAATTCCTTTTTTTTTTGCCCTTTTTACTGCTAAACCATGATTGCACCTAATTGTTGGGATTATTTTTGGTCTAGTTGTGACTAGGGTGCCTTGAAAGTGGTAAGAGTGTTCTTGAAGTAGGGCTTGGTGTAACCAAAAGTTGTAAATTATGGAACCTCCCAAAGATATTCAAATTACCACTAGTGTTCTACCTGGAAGTGTCGATGTCACTAGTGGGATGGTAATTGTTAATGTTCGATTAACACTGGTTCAGTACTAGGTCTGAAGTAAGGAGGAAAGAGAGAAGAGATGAGATAAAAAAAAGGGTTCAGCTAGAAAGAAAAAGATCACACTCTCTCAGTCGACCCACCTTTTATTTATAGTTTGTGCATTAGAATAAAAAAGGCAATAATGCCCCTCATGAAGTATGGGACACACAACTTAAACACAAATAAAACAAGCAACTCACCTTTAGTTAAATCACAAAAAACTAAACTCCCCTTATGCTACCGACTCTAACACTCCCCCTCAAGTTGGTGAGTATATATCATATAATCCCAGTTTGTTACATATGTAACCACTCTCCCCTAACTCGACCCTTTTATAAACACATCTGCCCACCGGTTACCTAAACTCACATGTGTCATATTTATCACTCCATTGATCACCTTTTCTCTCACAAAGTGGCAATCAACTTCTATATGCTTTGTTCTCTCATAAAAAACTAGGTTAGAAGAAATGCGGATTGGAGCTTTGTTCTCTCATAATAGTTCACACGTAGTATGTGCCATGGCCCTATATTTAGCTTCAGCACTGATTCTTACTACTACAGTTTGTTTCTTGCTCTTCCAAGTCACCAAATTCCCCCCAAGTAAGGTACAATATCCTGCAGTGGATCTCTTATCGAAAACAAATCTGGCCCAGTTAGCATTTGTGTACCCCTCTATCTCAAGAGTTCCTCCATTCTTGTATAACAATCAATGGCCTGGAGCTCTCTTCAAGTATTTGACAATCCTTAGAACTGCATCCCAATGTGGAACCCAAGGATGTTGCATAAATTGACTCACCACACTCACTGCAAATAATATATTTGGCCGAGTAATAGTCAAATAGTCCAACTTACCCACCAATCTTTGTACCTCTCAGGATATTCAAACTCTTCACGTGCATCAGTACTCAACTTGACATTTGGTTTCAAGTAATGTTGACTCTCCCATTCAGCCATGATATTCTGTTGCGGGGTGCAAGGACAAGAAGCTTGATGAATTACACCATGTTGTTATAAATATTGCTGAAATGGTGTTAAACAATATTCTTTCACATTATGTGAATAAAGAATCTTAATATGAACACCAAATTGGATAAGAATTTCAACATGGAATTTTTGGAAAATAGACAACAATTCACTTTTGTCTTTCATAAGATAAACCATGTTAACCTTGAATAATCATCAACAAAAATTACAAAATACTTGTAGCCATTATATGACACAATTTTATTTGGACCCTAAACACCTGAATGAACTAACGAAAATGAACTCAAAACATGACTATCAACCCTAGGACTCAAGGAAACTCTGTGATATTTTCCAAACTAACACAACTCACAATCCAAAGAAAAAATATGACTTAATGACGGAACAACTTTAGAGCCTTAAGAGACAGATAACCAAGTCTATAATGCCAC